GGAAGAGATAGTTATGAGTTTTTGATTATAGAAAAGACACGATATCTGCTTGAAGAACTTAGTATAGAAGAAGCAAAACTCTGTACTGAACTTATCGAGAAAGAAGAGCTTTTGGAAAAAATACAACAAAAAATAGATACAAGATGAGTAGAAATACTCAAAGCTAAGACAATTAAGAAGCAAAGACAATGAAGCAAAGAAGCTATAATAAAGATAAGTCTACAAATAAAAGAAGCAACTAGAAAAGTTTTATTAAAGCAACAGAAGAAAAAAAAAAGCTTTCAAGATAAGAGCAAAAAAAGGAAAAGAAGAACCAAGACTCTAGAAGTAGCAAAGGAAGAAACATAGAAAAATGGAAAATGGAAAAAATCTTAGAAGAGCTTAAAGAAGAGACAAGACCAAGAGTACAAGAAAAAAATCAAGTTAGTCTCAAAAATAATAAAAAAGAAAAAACTAAGATACAAAGAATAATTTCAATTCTAAAGAGAAGAGAAGAAAAGAAGATAAAGTTTAGATAAAATAAAAGAAGAACAGAAGCTCGCAACCTTTAGAAGAATTGAAAAAAGAAAAAGAAGAGATAATCTAAAAGATATAACTTTAGAGAAGAAGTTTAATTAGTAATGCAGAAGAGTGATCAAAAAGAAGCTTATAGTATCGCAGAAAAAGAAGGATGAAAATGCAGAGAAAAACTAAAAGAAGAAAAGATAATTGGTCTAATTAAAAGATCTGTAGATAAACCTAGTAGAAAAGTCTAGAAGAAAAGAAGAAAAAGGAAAAAATCTTATAAGATAAATACGAATAGATGAATAGAAAGTAGGATAAAGAACAGTAGTTTAGAAGAGATATTTAGAAAAGTTAAAAATTTATGGATAAAAGAGGGTAAAGTAGTTAAAAGAATATAAAAATAGTCATGATAGGCTGTGGTGTTTATATTAGAGAATTGTAGTTACGGAATAGTAGCAATAATAATCTAGTATAAAGATCACTATGGCAAATTGTATATAGGTATCTATAGGATAACTGGGTGAGTTAAAACTTAAAAAATTAGACATTAAAAAGATATGTAATCATTCAATGATGTTTTCTCATATAAAACAAATTCTAAATAAAGTTTTGGTATGACTGCTGAATTAAAAAAAAATATATAAACCTACAAATAATCTAATAAAAATTAACTAGCATTAAGGCTTTGTTGTAACAATAAAAAAAAAAGAAATCAAAAGTAATATTTAATCAAAAGACTTAGAACTTTATATAAATATTAATTATAAAACTAGATTGTTATAGCTTATATTATACTAAATACATGAAAACTACTTTTTAATAGTAGGGTATTAGATATTAGTAATTTAGTATTAGGTATCAGTAATTTAGAATTAGGCATTAGTACTTTGGTATTAGATATTAGTATCTTAGTATTAGATATTAGTATCTTAATACTATAATATAAAACCTAATCTTTTAAAATTTTTAAATAATTATATAAAACTAAACTACTATTATTAATAAACTATTAGTATTTGAAAATATGCAAGAATCTGAAAGCTTAGTAAAATCTGAAAGTTAAATAGGATCTAAAAGTTTAGTTAAATCTAAAAGTCTAATAGAATTCAAAAGTCTAATAAAACTTAAAAACTTAGTAGAACCTAAAAGCCTAGTAGAATCTGCAAACTCAATAGAATGTGAAAGTTTAGTAGAACCTAAAGATATATTTTATAAAAAAACAGTATTTATAACTTCCTTGAGGTTTTTAAATATGTTATTATCAATATTTAGAAGTAAAGAGATTTAAAGTTATTTACTATAAAAGTAGCAACTATAGTAATAGTTTATATTATATCTAAGTCTTTACATATGCTTATTATAGCCAATTCAAACTCAAACCTAAAGACTCTAGCAAAAAAAACAGAAATGCAAAATCAAAAAAAATGTAATTGTCTGTAATCTATTCATCTTAATTATAATCAAAGCAACAATAAATATTATATTTCACAAATAGTACTTAGCTATAATCACCTCCTGATTCTAGTTTATCTCAAACATATCTCATCTAATAGTCATAAAATACTAGCAGATATTAAAGAAGAAATTCTAACCTTAAAAAAGACTAGAATTTCAACATCATAAATTCAGTCATTACTTGTAACAAAATATAGACTAACTGCCAAAAAATAGATAATTCAAGATATATACAACTTTATTAGTACTGATTGTATTTCATATAGTAGATTCTAGGCTCATAATTTTCTTTTTATTTTATAGCAAAAATGCAAAAATGATTTTGAGTTTTCTTTTAAATTCAAGCTAGATCAAGAAAATTAGTTGAAGCATATAATTTAGATATATCTGTCACAAAAGTAGCAGTATATACATTTTCACAATATAATTGCATATAATAATATATATAAATATAATTATTTTTCAATGCTCTTCAGGATATTTACAGATGTTACTAATAATAGATATTCATACTGTACTGCTGGTACTCTGCTTCAATTTGGCACGGTTAAGGCGGTAGCGAAACGTTAGGCAAAAAGTAAGTGTTTCTTTTATTTATTTTATTCCGAACTCTTATATTGTCTAATTATCCTTTCTTAAAACTTACATTCATTTTATACATTTTTTTTGGGCACACAGAAAAGAATAACAAAGAAACAAAAAGAAAGAAAAATAATTTTAACGAAGGTTTCACTTCGTTATTTCAAATAAACTCACTTAAGACTCGGCCACGAACTTATCCCGATATGGTTGATTTAACCCATTGTAAACTCTAAGCCGCATTTTGACAATCGGTTAATTATCTTTTTACATGTGGGTCCTTTGATCGGTTCCTGGCTTCGTGGGTTGCTCTGAGGCACGGGTTCCTTCTTTCTTTAATATGCCGATTTTGCCCCTGACAGTATCAAGAAATACAAATCACGTGAAATAATAATTACTCATTTTTTCGAGAAGTCTGAGGCTAACCACAGAATCACCGCAGAATGCTACCGAATAGCACAGAATCTTAAAGAATACCACAGAATGTCACTGAAATCAGAATCCTTAAGAATTGATATCAGAAATTTCGGAGATTCTTGGGAGAAGATTAAAATTTTGCACAATAAAACAAAATCTCCACATTAAAAAAACTACGCGCAGCAAATCCTTCATTATGATAATGTGCATACACAACAAATCATTAGAATCTTTATTAGAGATTACATTATCGTAAACAATTTTCTCTTTATTATCATTTGACAATTATAACCAATTGAAATCGTAGTATAATACTAATTATCAAATTTATAAATAAACAAAAAATCTAGTAATCTCACGAAAATACATCTCTAGTCACTATAGTGTTTAAAATCCACAGTGAGCATCTTAAAAAAACTAATTTATAACTTATATATCGATATATTTTTGTGCAACTTTTCAATCAAATTTTTCTTGCATATTTTTTATAAATTCTTGCACACGTGCACCTTGTACATGCCAATTTTAAACACTGTTTCTGATTATTATATGAATACGTACAAATTATCAAAAGTAATGTAAAGTTGCTTTTAATATATCGGTGTTAATTTTTTTTTTCGATTTTTTATTTTTATTTATTTTATTTTTTATTTTATTTTTTTTTAAATCCAAATGTTTGCTGAGTACTATTTGAGATTTTCGCGTATGTTAGCGTCATAATAAGGTCAAAAAAGTGTGTTCATGATTTTTTTTTAAATCCTATAATTTTTTTTTTTTTTTTTTTTTTACTGTATTTTGAAATCCCAAATGTTTGCTTAATACAATTTTAGTAATGATCATTTCATTATATCTGATATCATAATATTATTTAAATATCACGGCAATACTGAAATTAAAATTATCCAATCAAGGTGCGGTTTCAGCCATCAACGTCATAATCAACGTTTTAAAACATTTTATCGTTATTAAATCAGGTTAAAAAACATAAAAATCATTAAAAAGCGATTTTTTACCATCCCTAGTTATCATCGTAGTAAGGCCAAAAACATGTTCATTAATTTTTTGGTTTTTACAGCCACAATTCCACAATTCCCGTTAGTAATATGCAGTCGTGAATGGGTTCATCCCGTTTTCACTAACAGCCATTTCTCCGACTCTTAATTCCGGCTACCATAATCTAAATCGAGCCGACCTGGAAATGGTTATCAGGGAAACGAGTTATATTACGATAATTACGGTGTTAAACTGCTGTACTGGGATATTAAGGGTTCAATAAATCGAGTTTTTTAACATCCCTATAGTTTTGAACACTATTCTAGTGATATCAAAAAATTGATTAATCGAAAAGTTGTAACTAATTCTCTAAATGAACGAAAAAATTTTATACAAATAAATCATGTAATTATACAATTAACCAATAAAATTAAGTAAAAAAAAATGTGATAACTAATTTGGTCCGATTGAAAATTTGTGCGAAACGAATGGAAACCGAAACAAATCAGTATTTTTTTTGTGCAGTAGAGATGTCTAATGCCGACATAACGTTTTATGATCAGCTTCTATGAAAATTGGTGATACTAATTAAAAGTAGTTCCTAAAAACTAATTAGACGCGATGATTTACTAATAAAACTGATCTTGAAAGTTGATTGGCTAGTGAAATTTTGCGATTTTTAACGTTAACGTTAATACAGTAATAATAATATTAATCTGTAATCTACTCTATTAAAAACCAAACAACCACGTAGTAAAATTTTTTAAGTTGCAAATGAACCCAAAGACGAGCAAGGTAAAATAAATTTATTTGAGAGTCTGAAACTTCCGAAATTAGAAAAAAAAAACCAAGGTCGCGCTTAAATAAATAACAGGAATATATTTACACGTATTACAACAACGAAATAGAAGAACGCTTTGACGCTTTGAAAATACCGAAGCAGAAACTTCTGAAGTTGGAAAGATAGTGGAAACAGGACTTCAAAGTATGTGTACTTGTTTTATTAGTCCTCTCTAAAAATGAAACCCTTCTATACAAAGGAAATATTGCAAAGATTCGACGGGTCGTTTGACTTTTGGACTGTGGTTTCACACAGACCTTGTGGATAATCGGCATTTTTTATCGGCATGACGATTAGTTAAAAATGCACGATTATTTGGAATTTCATTAATTGAGGTTCGACAAGACTTCTGTGGTTTGGGTTTTCCGATACTACTTTGAAGAAGGGATTCGTTTATAGAGAGTAAATACATAGTCATCTTATGATTTAGGATAACTAACTTTTTTTTTTTATAATAATGACAGAAATAGCGGATCAATAAAACTTTTCTAGGATTTGCAAGACGTTTCTGAGAATTCGAATTAGTTGATTAAGGAAGCGGGTGAGTTGTCTTTATAAAAACTTTATCTTAAAGCAAATATTTTTTTAACTCTTATTTTTGGTTTTCAGAAAAAATAGGCCACCAATATCTCCGAGAAAAACTTCCTCCGTTGTGTAAGAAGTAGCTTCAGCAGTGAAAACGTAACACGAAGCGCAATATGATTTGGCGTGGTCAAGGCTAGGTATCCAGTGTAGGGATTGGAACCGCCTAGAATTTCTTTAATCGTTTAACCGTTCGGTCGGCATTAAGATAACCTTGGCCCATGATCAACATAATTCGGCCCGAAATTATGGAACAATTTTTATGCGGTTAAACGG